TCCTGTAATAATGTCAGGCGTCTTCTCAATCTAATTCAGGCTTCTCAGCAAAGGAACATGGGCAGTTTGGTGCTTTCTCTGGATGCTGAAAAAGCTTTTGATAGAACGGCCTTAGTTATTTTACACTTTAAATAAATTCAGTCTTAGGGATACTTTTATTTAGTGGGTAAAAAATTTCTATGATAATCATCAAGTGTCCATTTTGAGTAATGGACTGAAATCAGATAGGGTTCCATTGTTTAGAGGAACAAGGCAAGGCTGCACCCTGTCACCTCTTTTGTTTGCCATTGCCTTTCCTTCCCCTTTAAGTGGTCTCCCACAGGTTTTGTATACTTACTGATATTTATAACTCTGAAATTTAAACAAATGTATAATGCAAATTTTGTCCCTCTGTTTGAGAAGGTAAAGCAGGATTTGGAGAGATGGAATTCCCTACCCGTTTCCTGGCTAGGATGTATAGCTCTGGTTAAGATGAATATTTTGCCTTGACTGTTATATCCTGTCCAAATGATTCCAGTTTTATTTTCAAATAGGGTGATGAAGGATCTGAATGGCTGGCTAAGCTCTTTTATATGGAGTAAATGCAGACCAAAACTTAAGATGGCTACACTACAGCTCCCAGGTTCAGTACGGGCTCTAGATTTACCAAATTTTAGAACATATCAATTGAGTACTCACATGTGGTATATTCATGACTGGGTCACAAATAACTCATGCTTTATCTGGTTGTGGATTGAAACTTCTCTTTCAAAGTATCCACTAAGAGACTTACTGTTATTTAAGAACTTTAAAGATATTAGATCGAGCTGTGATAATCCAGTTACACTTAATACACTTCAGGCCTGGCGATCAGTATGTCGACTTGAGGGAAGGTTGAAGTCCACATCTATGTTCACCCCTATTGTGAACAACCTTGACTTTCAACCTGGCATGTTCAATATAGGTTTTAAGCAATGGAGGGACAAGGGGGTTCACAGGCTGAGGGACTTATTCTCCGACAGTGTGGTTATGCCATTTGACTAAATGGTTGAGAAATTTTCTCCCCCCAAACATGACTTCTTCCATTATTTACAGATAAGGCATTATATCTTGCACAGTACTAATTTCAGTGAGACCCATGAAGTCTCTCCTGTTGAAAAATTATTATTTTTAAGAGATAAAGAGGTACCTGTGAAGGTATTTTATAAGGCTTTATGTGTCGCACCTTCAATGATGTCATAGAGGCTTAAAGGCACATGGGAAAAGGAGCTAGGTATAATAATTGATGATGAAGAGTGGAAAGATGTCTGGAGTTATGCCAGATCAATCTCAGTCTGTAATCGTACCAAAGCAATACAGTTAAAAATCATAAACAGAATGCATATATCCATATACTGCAGACATCAATATAATTGATTGATTGATTGAATCTTTATTTTGAACATGTTGAAAAAGTACAACAAGATAGAATTAAGAGACAAATAAACAAAGCAAAACAAAAGGAAAACGAGCAACCACAACTCCAAATAACTTTCATGTTCAAAAAGGAACAGGAAGAAGCATAAGATTATTTAATCCCACCCTTTTCCACTATCTAGTAATCAATCGACCATAAAAAAAACTACTTGCAATTACATTATGTGTTATGTGTATTTTTTTTTTATTATTAATTTTTGTCCTACCTAATAATCCTACCCTTTCACCCATGTGGCTCAAATGCAAGACAGAAATTGGTACCCTAACTCACTGCTTTTGGTCATGTTTGAAATTGCAAGGATATTGGTCTGATGTGTTATCTGAAATGGAGAAGATTTTGGGTTTTGAATTGGAGATGAACCCTCTGTCTCTCATGTTGGACCTCCCCAGCCTGCATTTAATATCTAAGAATAATAGAAGGTTGAATTGTATTCTCACCTATGCAGCGAGGAGGAATATTTTACTTCAGTGGATTAATGAAAAGGCACCAACTATTAAAGGCTGGCAAAGAGTAGTGTTGGATCTAGTGCCATTAAAATATCTTACACTCAAAAACAGACCAATTCTTCAAGGTGTGGGAACCATACTTGGATTCTCTTGAGTGTTCAAACTGCATTGTACTACTGGGACCACAGGTATTGTACTGTATTGTATTCTTTATTTTTTATTTATTTACTTTATTTATTTATTTTTTTTAGATGGAACTGAGCTGGTGTTTTGATTTGTGCTTAGTTCTCAGTCTGTTTTTGTTTTGTTTTTTATTTTATTGCTGTGAATTGTACCCTATATTATGTTATGTAAGTATGTATTATTTGTGAAAATGAAAAAAAAAACAACTAATAAAATATTGTAAAAAGAAAAGTTAAAGCAACAGAATCACCTCTATCTTGTGGTATAAATTGTATGGCATCTTATTGTGATTATTTGTGCCAATTGTGGCACGCGAAGGGTTAACTGATGGCACGACCATAGCTGGACTGGCCATCGGGCATACTGGACATTTGCTCGGTGGCCCGGTGACTTTTTTTTTCTTTGTCTTTGTAACGGTATAAACAATGAAAGGTGGTGGATTGGCCAGATGCTGGTCGGTGTGTAAAAATAACTCAGTTGTTTGGTAGTGGCTATGGTGGAGCTTCCTCAGATTCAGTAACATTAGCAAGTGGTGGAGGCCAGCAGGTGGATGAGAGAAAGGGGAGGCAGGAGGAGGAGAGACCCGAGGCGGCTGCTGGTCCGAGCGTCAGGTGAACTGAACTTCAGATAAGAAGTTATGATCTGCAGTCTATCTGGGTCAGATATAAACTAAGGTGTAGTTTATTTTCGTTATGCTGACTTTTTACAGTCAGTTACAATAACTCTTACTGCTACTAGCTAGCATGACGGAGTTTCTATACAGCTGGGTGGGTGCTTTGATGTTACTGATGTTGAACTTTATATAATTCACAAGGTTAGTTCGTAGAGTTGCCAACCGTCCTGTAAAAAACTGAATCGTCCCGCATTCAGAGAAAATATTACGCGTTTCGTGTTGAGGTGAAAAGGAACACAGTTTGTCCCGGACTTCAGCTAGAATGGAAAAAGACACAAAGCTGGAGTTATTCTGTTGTTATGCTGCACAGCTGACTCTTCCCCTGTCATTCTCTCCCCTCTCTCTCCTGTTACTACTTCAATCATGAAACTGATCAATGATCAGCTGATTGGCTGTTCTCTGGTGTTTGTTTATCGCCCACTTTGCACCAGAAAGAGGAAACCGGCGGATGTCGCCCTAAACAACAGCAGCACGTTTAAGCTTGATCAGCTGTTGTTAGAATTTATTTAATATTAATTTCTAGTATCAGCTGATGTTTGCTGGAGCCACAGCTGTAAAGCTGCTGGTCATGATATGGTTTGGATATGTGGTGAGAGGGAAACATGAAGATGAAACCAGGAGATGTCCTTACTGAATCATCAGAGCTGAACAGGTGATGGAGAAACAGGTTTACCTTTTAGGTGACATGGATGAGTTGAAGTTATGAACTGTTTCTGAGAGACAAATAACACCAGGATCCTTTTCTAAGTAGCTGACAGCTGGTAACTGTGCAGGGGCGGGTCTAGCAAAGTGTTGCCAGGGGGGCAGGTAGGGCATTAACAGGGAGAGGGGGGCACAAAGAAATACTTTCTTATTCTCATTTAAAATGTCTAGCTTTTATTAAATAATTATCTGAAGCTTACAACCAAAGTTTTTATCTGACATAAAATGTATAGAAATCATACATATAACATCGAAGCAGCTGGAATCCACAGCTGTGTGTGTTCATGGAGCTTGGATTTTCACCTGCTGGACATCACTCCCTGACAAGTTTAACTGTCTTCAGAACATTGCAGAGGCCTTATTGACAGGATTTGGCTCTACATGTCTGTGTGAGCAGATTTTCTCTCACATGAGTCCTCAGGTAGCCTCTGAATGCTGGACACTCGGAGATCTGCGTCTCTGAGTGGGAGACCAGAGATCACATTAACATGTATGTCTCTGTATTAACAAACATGCCATATTGGCCCAGTTTATTTTTCTTATCATTGTTGTGAGGAGACCATAAATAGCATTTGTATTTTCTGTTGTACAGTTCATTTGCTGTTATGGAGTTCTTGTTATGGATAAAAACTGTCCTTTTTTTTTTGTTTCAAAATAGCTGCTAACTATTCGCTGATAGCTGCCAACATCTGTGAACAAATATGATTCTATATAATGTGTAACTGTTAATATAGAGTGTTATTACATTTATTGCTAATGCAATCATATGGCACACTGACAACTGAGGAAATTTTAAATGGCACTCGTCATCAGAAAGGTTGCCTACCCCTGCTGTAGACTTTAAATTTAGATTGGATACTGCAGTTTAGCAGGGGTTCCTTTCTCAATGCTTCCTCAAGGCTTCAGTTCAATATGTCAGGATAAGCAAAGAAAAAACAGACCTGTAAATCCTATTTTTAGATCGCTAACAGTCCTTTATTGCTAACAGTTCTTTATTACAGAAACCGTGCTTTTTATGATATTCCACCAACTGTACTCCTGATTTTCTCCACTTCTGATGTCATCACTTTTGGTGAAGTCCAGTTTTCCCGTTCTTATTTCCTATTTTTCTGTACATTGGGACATTGTGACCCCATAGTAAGACCTCATTCATGATATTATTGGACTTGTTTAATTCAGAATTATTTCAGAATGATTTTCACTTATTTTATTAAATTGAACGTGCTGCATTTGAAGCAAAATTACATTAGCACAATCATATTGTATACATATCTGAACACCATACTTAACTAATGATAGGGTCAGATATAAAAAAGTCCCTTCTTTTGGTAATCAGGTGGATGAGACTTTGGAGATCTCAGTCTGTTTGACAGTACCTATTACACTTGATAGAAACTGCAAATTCTCATTCATCTGTTCTTTAAATAATCTTTTCATGTTGTCACCCAATTGTTGTCACCCCCATCACTGGTAGTTTGTTATGCAATATGACTATTTGGATTCGCAGATTTAACATTGAATATGTTTTGTGTCTATTCAGGGTCTCGTGCTGGAAATGGTCAGCGTAAACTTAAGTCCAACCTGAAGAAAAGGTTCCAGTGTGTCTTTGAGGGGATTGGTAAAGCAGGAAACCCAACCCTTCTGAATCAGATCTACACAGAGCTCTACATCACAGAAGGAGGAACTAGTGAGATCAATAAAGAGCATGAGGTCAGACAGATTGAAACAGCATCCAGGAAACCAGACAGACCAGAAATAATGATCAGACAAGACAACATCTTTACAGCACCTCCTGGAATACATAAACCAATTAGAAAGGTGCTGACAAAGGGAGTGGCTGGCATTGGGAAAACTGTCTTAACACAGAAGTACACTTTGGATTGGGCTGAAGACAAAACCAGCCAGGACATTCATTTCACATTTCCATTTACTTTCAGAGAGCTGAATGTGCTGAAAGAGAGAAAGTTCAGTTTGGTTGAACTTGTTCATCACTTCTTTATTGAAACCAAAGAAGCAGGAATCTGCAGCTTTGAAAATTTTGAAGTTGTGTTAATCTTTGATGGTCTGGATGAGTGTCGACTTCCTCTGGATTTCAACAACACTGAGATCCTAACTGATGTTACAGAGTCCACCTCAGTAGATGTGCTGCTGACAAACCTTATCAGGGGGAAACTGCTTCCCTCCGCTCGCCTCTGGATAACCACACGACCTGCAGCTGCCAATTTGATTCCCCCTGAATGTGTTGACATGGTGACAGAGATCAGGGGGTTCACTGACCAACAGAAGGAGGAGTATTTCAGGAAGCGATTCAGGGATGAGAAGCAGTCCAACAAAATAATCTCCCACATCAAAACATCACGAAGCCTCCACATCATGTGCCACATCCCAGTCTTCTGCTGGATCACTGCTACAGTTCTGGAGGATGTGCTAAAAATCAAAGATGTAGGAGAGTTGCCCAAGACCCTGACTGAAATGTACATCCACTTTCTTGTATTCCAGGCCAAGATAATGAAGTCTAAGTATGATGAAGGAGCTGAGACAGATCCACACTGGAGTCCAGAGAGTAGAAAGATGATTGTGTCACTGGGAAAACTGGCTTTTGAGCAGCTGCAGAAAGGAAACCTGATCTTCTATGAATCAGACCTGACAGAGTGTGGCATCAATATCAGGGCAGCCTCAGTGTACTCAGGAGTGTTCACACAGATCTTTAAAGAGGAGAGAGGACTGTACCAGGACAAGGTGTTCTGCTTTGTCCATCTAAGTGTTCAGGAGTTTCTGGCTGCTCTTCATGTCTATCTGACCTTCATCAACTCTGGACTCAATCTGCTGGAAGAAGAACAAATGGCAACGTTGTGGTCTGAAAGACGAAAAGATGAATCTACTGAGACAGATATCTATAGGAGTGCTGTGGACCAGGCTTTACAGAATCCAGATGGACACCTGGACTTATTCCTTCGCTTCCTCTTGGGTCTTTCACTACAGGCCAATCAGAGTTTTTTATGTAGCTTTTTGAGACAGACAGGAAATAACTTGCAGACAAATCAGGAAACAGTTCAGTACATCAAGACAAAGATCAATGAGAGTCTATCTCCTGAGAAAAGCATCAACCTGTTTCACTGTCTAAATGAACTGAATGATCATTCTCTAGTGGAGGAGATCCAACACTCCCTGAGTTCAGGAAGTCTCTCTCCGGATAGACTCTCCCCCGCTCAGTGGTCAGCTTTGGCCTTCATCTTACTGTCATCAGAACAAGTCCTGGATGTGTTTGACCTGAAGAAATACTCTGCTTCAGAAGAGGCTCTTCTGAGGCTGCTGCCAGTGGTCAAAGTGTCAGAGAGAGCCTTGTAAGAAAGTAGCTCTTGTTAATATATCAATATATGAAAACGCTTGTATCTTTTCATAAAAGAAAAAAAATGAGTAATTCCCAAACTAAGTCATATTTTTTTTTTTACTCCTTCAGACTGAATTTGTGTAACCTCGCAGAGAGAAGTTGCAAAGCTCTGTCCTCAGTTCTGAGCTCCCAATCATCTAATCTGAGGGAGCTGGACCTGAGTAACAATAAATTACAGGATTCAGGAGTGAAGATCTTGTCAGCTGGATTGAGGAGCCCAAACTGTTCCCTGGAAATCCTTAGGTCAGTTGAATTACACTTGTCACACAGAATCCCAGGAGAAGATTATACATTATCAAGCTGTACAACTTTGATCCGTATCTGCTTTCTTACTGTAGTGTAGGCTGAGCTATCTGTTGTTTCTGTTTTCTTAAGACTAGAGTCAACATTAAAGGTTATTGCTTAATTCAGAATTTGTTTTTCTTTTTTTTATTTCAGGCTTGGTCTCTGCAGCCTCAGCGAGAGCAGCTGTAAAGATCTGTCTTCCGTTCTCAGTTCCCAATCGTATTGTCTAAAAGAGCTTGACCTGAGTAACAACAATTTGCAAGATTTAGGAGCAAAACTGTTGTCTTTTGGACTGAAGAGTCCACACTGTAAACTTGAAATTCTAAGGTCAGAATTCATCAAAATCATGACCACTTAGGATTTTATATCCCATTAACAAAGTAAAAATGTGTAGCTGTTGCTTTATGCATATGACATATAACTGCTAAGATAACACAATTATAGTATTAATACCAGCTGTTCCATAAGGCTTTGTGTTTGGTGTATCTGCAGGCTGTCAGGCTGTCTCATCACAGAAAAGGGCTGTGCTCCTCTAACCTCAGCTCTGAACTCCAATCACGCCCATCTGAGAGACCTGGACCTGAGTTACAATCATCCAGGAGACACAGGAGTAGAGCTTCTTTCAGCTGGTCTAAAGGATCCACACTGGAGACTAAACTCTCTCAGGTATTGAGAGACCAGGAGCATTTTCTCTGTCCGTCACTCTGTTATTGTTCAATCAGAAATACTGTTTGAATCAAAGCTATTTGCAGTAAATGATAAAGGGACTAGTACTTGTATAGTACTAAGTAATTTTACTACGATCCTCATTCACCCAGTCACATATATCTTCATACAAGCACTTTTCTATATCTTAGTGCCTTATCTAACAGTCACGCAAACACTCTCACTCCAATGGATGCATTTGTGCTCTCATCTGTGAAAAGCACCAGTGAGGTCCTGCAAATTCTGGTATTCTATTGCAAATGCCAATTGAGCATACAGTAACCACAAAGGAATTTCAGGTCCTCATAAAGCAGTTTCTGATTGTTTGGTCAGAGACATTCACACCAGTGGCCTGCTGGAGATAATTTGGTAAGACTCTGGTAGTACTCACCCTGGTCCTTCTTGTGCAAAGGAACAGATACCAGTCCTTCTGGGTTAAGGACTTTTAATAGCCCTGCCCAGCTCTCATATTCTAATTTCCTGTCTTTGAATCTCCACTATGGTTGTGACTGTGCTTGGAGACAAAGCAAACCTTCTAGGATTGGCATGCATTGACGTGCCATCCTGGAGGGGCTGGCATACTTGTTAAAGTCTATAAGGTTTAGCTATTAAATAGTGCTCCCAGTAGTGACGCTAATTGTTGTCAAATTCAAAACTCAGAAAAGATGTCAAAAGTCAGAAAAGATAAGGAGGGAAAGAATATTGCTTCCACCTATAAAACCATTACCGTTTTGGGCTTTCTCATTGTTGCCACTGTAATGTACGTTGTTAACTTCATTATTACTAAACTGACCAGATCGACTTTCCCTCTGTTCCCCCTTTCAGGGTGGAACCTGCTGGAGTCCAGTGGTTGAGACCAGGTCTTCAGAAATGTAAGTGTGGCTTTAGTCTGATTTATAAAAGGCAGCACATGTTCTACAGTCTTTTCCATTTCGTGGTGTTTGGCTTTGTTGGATTTATTGTCAGTACTCATTTAAAGTAAGTGACTCATTTAAATCTCATATTTCTTGCCTTTGGGTCATTTTCAATCAAAATATAAAATAACATATTTTCAATTACTTCCAAATATAGGCTTTATCCCTCACTCCTCCCCACACATACATGCTTATTTATATTGCAAATCTATATGGTGTTCGGGTCAACCTTTGGGCCATGAAAGTGTGGAGGTGCTGTTTCCTTTCCCTTTGTCCTTCTCCTGCATGGCCTGCTGTTAATATGTGCCTACCTGCATGTGTTTTACATTTCCTTCTTTCCCCCCCACAACTTTCCAAAGCTATCAGATTTTAAGCAGCTATACATGTCTGTTCTGTCTTATGGTAATCATTGTATGTTTTCTCATGCTTTATCCTAGCTGAAAATCTAGGATGGAGCCCAACAGCTGCTTTTAGATCAGGATGGCAAAAAGATTCTCTGGTCACAAGACCTACAATCTTAGAAAATAAGAGGTTTTAGAAGAAAAAAAGGAAGATTTTCCAGAACATGAACATTTTTTTGAAATTTATCAGCTAGCACAGTAGTCATTGATAGACTGCCAACCTGTCCAAAGTGCACACAAACTTTCTGCCCTATCATAGCTATGATAGGAGGGTGTGCTCTAGTTACAGAGAATTCAGTCCTCTCAGTTTCCCCAGGAGGGTCTATCCTGGGGTGCTGAAAGGAGTGGCAGTCCAACCTCAGATTTTTTCTGGTCATGGACCACTGGACCAGTCCTTTATCCTCTCTAGGATATTCAAATGTGTGTGGAAGGTTGTCAATCCAGTCTACATGGGTTTTGTTGGAATTGCAGTTGACTATGTTCTTCTGGGGTATCATGTGGAGGGCACTGCAGGAGTATGTGGTGTCTGGCCCGGTGTTCCACAACATCCAGTCACTGTACAACTGCTGTGAGACGTTGGTCCGTATTGCCAGAAATAAGCTGTACTCGTTTCTGGCTCTGCCAGGGCTGCTGTATGTCACTTACCCTGTTCACAAATTTATGGACAAAATTGCTAGATGTAACCAAGTGGCTGAAAGCTTCCACCTTGGTGGCCTTGGAATTTCATCTCTGCTTTTTGCAGATGATGTGATTCTATTGACTTCATCAGTTTGTGGTCTCCAGCTCGCACTGGAGTGGATCACAACTGAATATGAAGCAGCAGGTATGCGAATTGGCACCTCCAAGTAGGGATGGGTATCATTTAGGTTTTATCCGATACCGGTGCCAAATCGGTACTTTTGAAACGGTGCCGGTGCTCAAACGGTGCTCAAACCGGTGCTTAAAGAATGGAGAACACAAAATTGGTCCAAAAACCTCTCATGTTCAGCTGGTTTTTTGTAAAAAGATAACAATGTTAGCCTTTTCTGCAGCTATGGGCCATATATGGTATCACTCTTGGCTGGAAGCAGTGCTTAAACAATGGAAAAAACACAAACTTTATCCAAAAACCTCTCATGTTTAACTGTTTTCCACTTTTTCTTTGGTCATTTTAGCCTTTTTGGCCAGGCTGAAGGGAGTATCTGCCATCAAACAAGAGGACAGCCGCATGTAGCTATGATGATGTTTGCTAGTACACCTTACATGCATTAATGTAATAACGTGGTTAGCCTACTCAACGTAAATTACACACGAACAACATTAAGCTCCTCACGCAGAGAAGAACGGCTGCTGCTGCATCATCATCCTTCTGCTACACTGGCAGGGCTAGGGGCCAGGACTCTCCTCTTCGTGTTTTTGGGGATGTTGCTAACTCCGGGTTCGATAACAGGCACCACACCCGCAGTAGATGCGCTCGGTGTGAGGTCTCGCAGTAAGCTGTCAAATACGGCGCATTTCTTGGCTTTTAAAAAAAAAAAAGCCGCTATGCGTCGCCAGGTGTTTCATCGGATTTGAGGTGTTACCTCCTTTGACAGCATCACAGTATCAGCTTAAAGCACTTGTTGCAGGCTGCTGAGTTTGCATATTTTGCTGTGAAGTACAGCCAGACTTTTGACCGCTTTGCCTTGGGCATTTTTAATCTGTAGCTCTGCTCTAAAATAACATACGTACCTGGGCCCGCCTACTATCCTCGGAAACGTAAAATGATTGGCTAGAAGTGTATCACAGCTCAGGAAAAAAAAGCACCGAAATAAAGCACCGAAATGTGCGCTGCTTTTTGGTCTGGTTACTACCGTTTATGTCAGAACCGGTGCCATGATGGCACCGGACACCGGTACCCATCCCTACCATGGTAGGCCATGGTCCTTAGCCTGAAAACAGTGTCGTGCCCACGCTAGGTCATGCACAAATTGCTTGCAAGTGGAGGAATTTAAGTATCTTCAGGTATCGTTCACTAGCAAGGGAAGAGAGACTAATAGACAGATTTGGACAGCGGCTGCAATGATGTGGACACTGGTCTGTCAGAGTGAAGAGAGAGATTAATGTAAAATAAAGTTTTGTTTTGTCTAGTCCTATGTCTCTAACCTCTCCTATTGCATGAGTTTTAATTAGTGAGTGTAGGAGCGAGATCACAGATAGAAGTGGTATAAATAAGCTTTCTCGTAAGGGTGGCTGGCCTCTCCCTTAGAGAGAGAGAAAAAAAAGTCAAGAGTGTTATTGGTTAGTTAATGAAGACAAGCTCAGAGTAGAGCCGATGTTCCTTTTCAAAAGGAGCCAGGTGAGGTGGTTTACCAGGATACCTCCTGGTGTTCAGAGGCATCCTAATCAAACTGGTGCCTACTGGGTGAAATGTTGTGGGCATATTCAATTGTATTTTATTTATATAGTTTACAAATCAAAACAACAATTTCCTGAGCACTCAAATCATATATTTGTTTGACGTAAACTGTGTTCGTGAATTGTGTCAAAATTTCAAAACCCTGTATATAACTGCATTTGTGAAGACTGAGTGTTGTTGAGCTCAGTTTAACACTTTAAAGTTGACGAACACATTAATATGGACAAGTTGTCTAAACAGTCTAGAATAAGTGCAATAATTCCTTAGTGGAAAACACTACTTTCAGTTTACCATTCCCTTTAACCCGGTTGGAGCGGGCGCGCTCTGTTTAGTGTAACTATTTTTAAATCCCTGTAGAACCAGAACCACGTAAGCTAGAGCAATACTTTTTTTGCATATGAAACCGAAGGAGTTGTACTTCCATCTTATGCCATCAGCTTGTCCTCGGTCACAGTTTCCTTCCACATATAGCTTTGCAAAAACTGCATAAAAAGCGCTTGTAGCAACAAAAACATAATATTCCAGAAACACGCTTTGCCGATCCGATCAGCTGTTCGTAACACTTCCTACGTTGAAATAGACGTCAGCGCGAACTATCACATGTCCACCATTACCTGCCCGAAACTGGATGTGACATCATTTTCGCGGAAAATGTAGTTTTTTACCTTCAGGGCCTTATAAGCCTATACTGGTGTTTCTAAAAGTTACGTTTGACTTCATGCTTTTCTGAATAGTTTCTGGGATGCTTAGAACTTAAATTACACTGCTGGAAATAGTTTGTTTTTATGCACATGCTTTTTGTTTTTGCAAATTTGCATTATATTTATTTTAATTTTTCCTGCAGGACATAAAAATTGGTGTATCTCAAAAATAAAACTATGAAGACACTCAAAATACAGGGTGGGCCATTTATATGGATACACTGTTACGTTCCCCTGAGGGGTCTAGGCGGTGAGGGGGAAGTAACAAAAAGTGTCCGGGTCAGAAAAAGGAGTCAAGGAGGCAAAAGGATTAAATCAAAGAGTTTTATTAAAGTTCCTATCAAACTCAACTAAAAGAGATGGACAAGCCGCTAACACCATTTAAGGAAAACGAAACTCAAGCGTTGGTCAATAACGTAAAAAGTAAGTCAAAAAGAGAGTGCAGCTCACTAACTGCAAATACACCAAACACTCAGCTCACTAGCTGTAACCACACAAACATACAGCTCACTAGCTGCAACCACACTAATGGCACTTTGGCCCAGAGCTCACCTTTCCCTGGGCTTAAATCTCTTTAATTACTGAGAGAGTCAGCTGCACAAAAGGACTTTAATATCACCAACCATACCCATGTTATTACGGTGTATCCATATAAATGGCCCACCCTGTACATTTCCTGTTGTTGGAAACTATTTTGTGCAACTTTTCTGTATTTACAGTTTTGAGGGATAAACCTCTGAAATTTCTCTAACTGGAAATTTATGTAAAAAAACCAAAAAGATTTTCAAATTTTTTGTAGTTTATTGCACTTTTTTGCAATTTATGTAGTTATTATGGACTTAATGCATACATATTATTAGAATTTGGGCTATAACAAATTTTAATAATATTTGTTATAGCCCATATTGATGTGTAACAACTTGAAATGCTCCCAAAAATGGCACTACAGCATGTAAAAATATAAAGATAAGCTCTGGCGGACTTGGTTCTATGGTAGGTCTTAAAGGGTTAAAAAGGTTAAGTGGAATTTTTAAACGATCAGATTAATAAATGAAGAAATAATTTTAATTTCATGTGTGTTCTTTATATCAGATTACTGCCAACTCACAATCGACACAAACACCGTAAACAGGAAACTGAAACTGTCTGACAGCAACAGGACAGTGACACATGTGGAGGAGAATCAGCCATATCCTGGTCATCCAGACAGGTTTGACCACTGTCGTCAGCTGCTGTGCAAAAAAGGTCTGACTGGTCGCTGTTACTGGGAGGTCGAGTGGAAAGGGAGGGCTCACATATCAGTGAGTTACCGAGGAATAGGTCGAAAAGCAGACAGTGATGCTTGTGAGTTTGGTTACAATGATCAGTCCTGGAGTCTCTTCTGTTCTGATGGGATTTACTCTGTGTACCACAACAACAAAGGCATATCTGTTCGTCTACATTCCTTCTCTTTCTCATCACTATACTCATCATCATCATCAGCCCCCTCCTCTTCCTCATCCTCTGGCTTTGGTAAAGTAGCAGTGTATGTGGACTGTCCTGCTGGCACTCTGTCCTTCTACAGAGTCTCCTCTGACACTCTGGTCCACATTTACACCTTCAACACCACATTTACTGAACCTCTTTATCCTGGATTTGGAGTAGGTTTCAGGCCTGGTTGTTCTGTTTCTCTGTGTTCAGTTTAGATATTGAACAATTCATTGCCTGTCAAATTTGTGAGCTGATATTGGCCTATCACACACATATCAGTGTTTATGTAAGTTGCTAAATATGAAAATTGTTATGTGTGTTGTACAAATAGTAATGTTAGTACTATTAGAGACTGAACAGGCTGATGTATTTTTTTTTAACTGTTTTATATGATTTCTTGTAAATTTCTTCCTGTTCAGTTATCTAAGAATGTGTTTGGGGAATTATGTCTTTTAGAAACTAGATATAAATTGAGTTGGTTGCCAAAATTGTACATTGTTTTGCATCAACAGCTGAATGCCAAGTAAATGCCTCTGACTCTGTGTCACATTTTGCTCTGCTTTAACTTTACTGCATGGCTTCCTTCAGTGGTTTTAGTCAGATATGGCTCAATGGGTTTCATATACAAACGCTATTCCTTCAGCAAAAAATCTATATTCTATTAAATAAAAATAGCACAACTTGATTAAGTAGTATCTAATAAATGTAATTATAACAAGTTTCAGTCATTAATGTAGCTGATACACAGCGGTAAGACCATTATTTTGTGGCCCTCGACTCCAGTTGTGTAATTTTATTGTGAGCCTGTTAAGTATCTAAATAAAAACAATCTGACTAAAGAGCACATTACAGTGAGACATTCCTGTTTCATCATCTAGCTCTCTGTGTGCAAAATATGATGATCACAGATGAATACAGTGTGTGCCACTGACACTCCAAAAATAAATAAATAAATAAATAAATAAAAAATCCTGTAATTGTAAAGGAGTTTGAGTCTAAGTTCTCACTCTGTTGGAAAAACATGAAGACATAGATGATGTAAAGAACATCCCTTTTTTACTTCCCATAATATAGAACTAATACTACATATCCAAACTGTTAATCTTGGACTTACTGTAGATCAATATCACACAATACCTGTAAAGAATGAACTGCTTTCAATGTGTTTACACAATAATTTGACCATTACTTTAAGTCACTGAAATTTGTGAAGAAATGAATAAAACTCGTTTTCTATTGCTTCTTTGTGCTTGTTGTTTGGATTGCTTACTTTATGGTTGTTAATGCTTTTCTTTTCTTTTAGCTTGGCTTCCTGTGTGTTTATTCTCTATGCCTACTGGTGTTGGCCAGAGGGGCCGATGG